CCCCAGACTCCGCACCCCCAGGCTCAGCACCTCCAGGCTCCGCACCCCCAAGCTCCGCACCCCCAGGCTCCGCACCCCCAGGCTCCGCACCCCCAGGCTCCGCACCCCCAGGCTCAGCACCCTCAGACTCCTCACGGTCAGGCTCAGCACCCCCAGCAGGACGAGAGTCAACAGCTACCTCGACAGGCTCAACCGGGTCTACCTGGGACACACCTGAGGGAGCGGCACCCTGAGGGGGGAGGGGGTCTGGTACCTCAGCACCTGGAGCGAGGAAGAGAGGCGGGGGGGGGGGAGCGGGGCAGTGCGGTAGGGGAAGAGGCGGTAGTAGGGGACGGACTCATCAAAAGTGACGTCCTGAGAGGCCAGGACACGACGCGAGGTGGCGTGGTAGAACTGCCAACCAGGCGCGTCCGGGACAAAGCCAAGGAAGACACAGGGGACAGCGCGACGGGAGAGCTTGTCCGCGGACGTATCGCGAACAAAAGCTCGAGATCCCCAGACCCGAAAACGCGACGCATCGCCAGCCTCTCCCGTCCAACGCAGTGTCGGAGAAGTCTCCGGTAAGGAGACACGGGGCCAGAGGTTGAGCTGATGCGCAGCGTATCGGACTGCAAACGGCCACAGAAAGTGGGGGGCAGCCGCATGAACCAAGGAGGTACGAGCGACCTCCATGACCAAGCCAATGCGGCGCTCAGCAACCCCATTCTGCTGTGGAGAGGCCGGAAGCGTAAACGACTGCTCAATGCCCTCCTGCTGACAGAAGGCCTCCAAGAGGCCAGAGGAAAACTCCCCACCTCTGTCAGAGTGCAGACGCAGGACAGGGAAGTCGGAGCGGAAACGCTCACGGAGCTGGAGACAAGATCTGCGGATCCAAGGGATCAAGACATCAGGGACCTCACCCTTGGTGCGCAAGGGGAAGACCGTGGTGTAGCGCGAGAAGTCGTCAACAACAATCAGGAAGTACCTCTCCTGACCCTGACCACGGCCATGTGGAGCGTCTGCAAAGGAGCAGTCGTCGGGGGGAAGGAGGAGGAGTGAGGAGCGGCACGCTGCCGCCCCTCGACACAGGGAAGACAGGGAGGAGCAGGCGAGGGTGGGAGGGGAGGGAGAACCCTGGGAAGACCAGCAACAAGGTCCCGTTTGTGCATGGCCCGAAGGCGCTGCACAGACGGGTGACCAAGGCGGTGGTGCCAGAGGACAGTCTCATGCGCCAGAGAGCGACACGAGCAGGGGGCGGACAGCTGACCTGACGCAGACGCAGACGCGGACGCAGCTACCTGAGGGGACTCAGTGGTCAGTGTGTACAGGTCCGACCCCGGCTGCCGAGTGAAGGTAGCCAGGTGACGGCCCGTCCGAGCACACGTGCAGTGGGTCACGCGCTCGTAAGCAGGGGTGAACTGGTGAACACCCCCGTCCTGGAGCGCACTACCTGCCACCAAGTTCGTAGAGAACGAGGGGAGGTAGAGGCCTGACAGTGTGCCTGACGGGACCGCAGGACAAGGAAGGACAGTGGAGGAGGTCGCAACGACCGGACCCCCAGAGGGGTCAGCGAGGGAGACAGCAACTGGCCGAGCAAGCGGCTCAAGGACAGTGCGGTCACGAAAGAAACAGCGAGAAGCACCTGAGTCTAGGGTGAAGGTGTGCAGTGCTGCAGTCGACTCAGTACCAGAGGGCACGGACTCACTAGCACCTAGAGCAGCAGCCTCACCAGGACCTGGGGCAGCAGACTCACTAGCACCTAGAGCGGCAGCCGGACTGGTCTGAATGCCCGGGTCGGGCGGAACACGCAAGTACTGAGCACCCTCTCCACTAGTAAACATCGCATACATGGCAGTGAGAATAGCATCAAAGTCTAAAGCCCAGATATCAACTCCCTTCTTCTCCAGATCAGCCCAGCGGGGCAGCTCAGTGGCATCAGGAAACTGGGCACGCCACGCGTCAGTAAGGCGCGCGAAACAGCGCTGTGTGGGATGCGGCCTCCCACACTGCTGGCCAGTGCGGTCACCAGTGCGAATGACGTACGTGCAGGTAAAGCCACGCTGCGCATACCACTCACGGGCGGCCTGAAGCGACGGGGCGGGCTGCTGACTCTGGCCACCGCCAGCGCCTCCACGACCACCACTGCCGCCGCCACCGCCTCGGCCACCTCCACCCCTGCCGCTGCCACGACCACCTCCGCCTCCGCTGCCGCCTCCACCCCTGCCGCCACTCCCGCCGCTGCTGTCACCACCCCCACTGCCGCCACTAGCCTCCCCAGCCGCTCCTCCACTCCCACCGCCTCCACCCCCACCTCCTCCGCCGCCACCTCCACCCTTGCCCCCTTTGCTCTTGCGGCGCCCGCTCGAAGCAGACGCGGCCCCGACCTTCTCAGCACCAAGGAGGTCGACAGCAGCAGCAGAGGCGACAGAGGGGAGGAGAGGGGAAGGGGAACACCCCTCAAAGAACGGGGTGCGGGGGTCGCCACGAGAGGTGCCTACAGCGACGATGCTCGCCTCAGCTGCAAGCAGTTCCTTCTCGAGGAGGGCAATGGTGAGCTCAGTGGGGGAGCGAGAGAGGAAGTGGTCCCTGACTGTGCGCAGGGAGTCGGGGAGGCGGGTGACTATGTGGTAGAGAGTGATCCAGAGCGGGGGGGGGTTGCTGGTGAGGAACTCGTCAGGCATAGCAGCGCGAAAGCGGGCCTCACTGGTCTTAAGGTGGGTGATGAGGTCAGCAACTGTCTGAAAGGAGGCCAGGTCAGGGAACAGGTAGGGGAGAGTGAGGCGGCCTAGTGTGGCAGAAGCGGGGGAGGAGTAGCGAGCGACTACAGCAGTGTACAGGTCCTTAGCAGTTTTGTGCTGGCCAAAGTGCTCGCGCTCGTCGATCGGTAGGGAGTTACGAATAGCGAAGCGAGCGTGGGCGTCACGAGTCTGCCACTGTGAGCACTGAGTGCTGTCAGCAGTGGTAGGAGGGGCAGTAGCGTTGCCTAGGGCGTGATCGTACAGTGAAATGTCCTCCTTAGCAGTGAGCTGTAGAAAGAGGTGGAGGTCATCGAGCCAGGTCTTGAACTTCACTGGACGGCCCTCAGTATCGAAAGTAAGTACAGTAGGAGTAGCCATAGCGGCAGTAGCAGTAGCGGTAGAAACAGTAAGAATGAGGCCGCAGGGAAGCTGTGGGCAGTGTCAACGGGGCCGGCGGGGCCACTAAAAGAACGTGCACGGGCGGTAGCGGCAGGATTGACAGGCCGGCAGCGGCTTAGGCGCACGGGCGGCAGCGGCAGTGACAGCACACGGGCGGCAGCAGCTGATGCGCACGGGCGGGAGCGGCAGTGGGCGCAGTAGCGGCGGCCGCAGTGGGAGCGAGTGCAGCAGCGGCAGCGGTAGCAGGCGCAACAGGAGCGCACGGGCGGTAGCGGCCGCGGCGCACGAGCGGGAGCGGCTGCGGGCGACGCGCAGGCGGTAGCTGCAGCGGCGGGCCCGTGGTAGCGGCAGCTGCAGCGGGCGACGAGCAGGCGGCAGCTGCAGCGGGCGACGAGCGGGCGGCAGCAGCAGCGGGCGACGAGCGGGCGGCAGCTGCAGCGTGCGACGAGCGGGCGGCAGCAGCAGCGGGCGACGAGCGGGCGGCAGCTGCAGCGGGCGACGAGCGGGCAGGCGCTGCAGCGGGCGACGAGCGGGCGGCAGCAGCAGCGAGCGACGAGCGGGCGGCAGCTGCAGCGAGCGACGAGCGGGCGGCAGCAGCAGCGGGCGACGAGCGGGCGGCAGCTGCAGCGGGCGACGAGCGGGCGGGCGCTGCAGCGGGCGGGCGGCAATGTGCAGGCCGGCGGGGCCGCTGCGGGTTGCACTATAGCGGTGCGAGCGGCGCGCGGGCGGCTAGCCGGTCGCGCTCAAAAGAAATCGGCCGCGCGCGGGTAGCAAGCGGGTCGCGCGGGGTAAAAAAAAAAAAAATAAATAAAAACGAGCCGCGCGCGATTGGCTGGCGGGCTGCGCGCGCGCGGTAGGTAGGAGGCGCACTGGGGCGCGTAGGCGCACGAGGGCGCACGGTAGGTAGGTAGGTAGGTAGCGGTGGGCCCTAAGAACGGTCCTAGCGAAGGACCTGCTCTGATACCATGTCGGAATCAACAGACAGGAATGGTTGTACTAACAGTGAAAACAGTACAAGTACCTAACCCTAGAATTGTGTACCCCGTATAGGCTAACCCACTGTAGCCTAAACAAACACAACATATATAATGTTTGACACACCCCTATTTCTTGATCGCACCTATCTGCTGGTGCCAATTCGCCTGTTACGTGGTTTAGAAGGTCGTTTCGAAAGGCGAAACAATGTTTGTGACGTGAGCCGCAACCACTGTTGAAGTCTGGTGCATCAGTGTGTTGGCTGTCATTCACCTGTCACGAAAGGCCCTTGTCCTCAGTACAAGAAAATGGCGGAATTGACCTCAGTGTTGGCTGTCAAGAAAGGCCCTTGTCCTCAGTGTTGGCTATCATTGACATGTCATTCGAATGGCGAAATTCGATGGAGTCCGGTTCATCACGCACCTTGCCCGTGTTCTCTGCCCTCTTCTCTTGCTCGCAGCCCAGGGACATGAGTAAAAACCAGCTGGAAATGGAGATGCCCGCTTGGATGGGCAACCTAACGGCCTTGAGCTAACTGTTCGTGCCACCATGCACAGCATTGCACCTCTTTCTGTCGCGCACCATTTATGTGCTTCGCTGCTCGTCTTGAACCTCCTTTCCATTGGCCATCGTGTGAATAGGCCTTGCTGGACTACACTACAATGACCTGGTCAACACATTCCTTTTCATACAACTGATCTACACGAACCTTTGCCTAGAAGCAGTTTCATCTTTGACTTCTCTTATCCCTTCCTTACCACACCTCCTTTATGTGTATTTCAGTCAGCTGTATAGTTTAATTTGGATATGTTAACTGTACACGGATGGTACATGCGTATACGAAAACATATGTCAGTCGTAACTGAGCTTGAGAGGCCGAAAGCTAGTAAACGGCCCCAGAGGCAGCGTCTAAGGCGGATGTAGAGCGCCGCGCGCGAGGTTCCACAGTGCCCCGAAATTAAGGGTCCACTTCCAACCCTTCTCGCCCATGCATCGGATACGTCCAAGCAAGTCATTCTCCAAACCCGCCAGTGCCAGCATCTTCCCTTGTCGTTTCGAACCACCGCCTTTCTCCAGCTTCTTCCCCAATGCGCGGGTGTACACCTTCACCTGCAACCGAAAAGCTGCCTCAATGCGCCTGAGGACGCGCCGAGCCCGGAAGCGCTTCCCCCGGAAAACACAATCACACCGCTCTGTCCATATCTGGTGCACCGCAATTGCTGCCAGCGAGGCTTCAGGGAAAGCTGATGTGGATGCTGCCTTGCCGAACAGCAAATCACCCAAACTCTCCACCTGCCTCGCTGGGTGAAGCAAACGCATGGCCCGTCTGACCGCCCCCACCACCAGCTGAATGCGCGGGCAAGTGAAGAGGCAGTGCTCCAGGATCTGGAAATCCCCACAGTGGGGGCAGACCGGCTTGCCACTTAGGAAAGAGAGCCGTTCTCCCACCTGCAGATTCAGGCTGTGAATCCTAAGCAGCACGTCCCGCGGCCTGTTTGGGATCACCAACGAGTCCCGAATTTTGATAACTTCCTTCCAATTAATTACACCTCCCCATCTGCCCGCCCACAGCTCCCTCTTCGCGGATTGATGCTTCTTCTGCTGCCAGCTTCCTTTCAGCTCCTTCAACGACGTCAGCTGCCCACCGCTGAGCACCAGGGTTCTCTGGAGGGGAGTCCTCCGAGCCAAACAATCCCCCACCTGTTGCTCGGCAGGCAGTAGGAGCAGCTTCCAGCACTGCGGCACTGCGTCCCAAGCCCGCAACGCCAGCTTTGCTTGTTTGGTGCCGCCTAGTTCCTTCGCCAGAAATTTTATATCTTTGGGCCGCCGGCCCCCCGCGCCGTCCGGGCACAGCAAGTCGCCTAACCGGACCTCCCAGAGTTTCTCCGCAGCCTTCTGTCCTCCCACCGGAGTCTTTCCGTTAAGCAGAATATGGCGATTGAACACAATCCTCTCCATCTCTGCCTCCTCCCGCGACAGCACCGGTGATGTGTCAGCCAGCGGCGACTGCATGAAGTCACCGCAGGCCAACTTCCATCGCTCGCTCTTCCCACTCCAGCACTTGAGGAGCTTGACATGCGAGACGAAGGTGTCCAGCCCCAGCGGCAAGTCAGCAGCCTTGAGCATGATGTCACGCTTCAGCTCGTTTGTCTCGGAGAGGAGTAGGCCAATACGCCTCGCCGTGAGACAGGTGAGGGCTATCTCCGGATCGTTCACCCCCACACCCCCGTCCTCTCTAGCCATGTAGAGCAGCTCCTTGCTCCACATAATGAAAGCTTTGTCTGTGGTGGCCCGATTCCCCGACATGAAATTGTGGGTCAGCTTCAGAATTCTCCCCCAGATGTCAACCGGAGGTGGATACACCTGCGCCTGAAAGAAAATGATGGGCGAGATGTAACAGTTAATAACCGCTGCTCTCGCCCCGGTTGTCAGGTGTTGCACCTCCCACTGCCTCAGCTTCTCCTTAATTTTTGCGAAAGCCTTTTCCCAGGTGGGCGCGCAGCAGCCAGCCGGCGTCACCCAGACCCCCAACAGACGCTCCGCCTCATCGGCCTTCACCCATTTGAAGCCATCCGTCTTGCTGGCCTGCTTATTTAGATTACTGCCCAAAGGTAAGACGGTCGACTTTGATTTATTGGTCGCCAGCCCCGATTCCTTTGCAAAGTCGTCAAGCAGCTTTTCAGCTTCTGCTAACTGGCCCTCCCCTTGCAGGAGCAACGTCGTGTCGTCCGCGTACCCCAGATAAGCCAGCCGTTGAGCGCCCCCTGTGAGACCCAGGCTGCGGTTCACGGCTTCCTGCGCCAGCGGCTCAACGGCACACAGAAAAAGGTACGGCGCGAGAGGGCAGCCTTGCCGCACCCCCGATACCACCTCAACCACTTCCCCCATCCAGCCGTTGATGAGCAGCCGTGTCTGTGTCTCCTCATGCAGGCCCTTGATCCAGCCGACGAACCTGCTGGGGAAACCCATCTTTTCCAGCACCAGAAACAGATAGTTCCTCGAGACTGAATCGAAGGCCTCATGGAAATCCACCAGCAGGAGGTACCAGTCCGCCTGCTCGTTCTTAGCAGCGTCGATCACATCCGCGACCAACCCCACCGTATCCGAGAGCCTCCGACCCGGCAGGAACCCGTACTGCTCCGGCGAGATCACCTCGTTCAATACTCTTTTCATTCTGTCTGCGACCACCCGCGCCAACACCTTGTAAGTGAAGCTCAGAAGCGTGATTGGGCGATAGTTCTCCACCGCATCCCTTCCGCCCTTTTTGTGCAACAAAATAGTGACGGCACTCTTTGTACTTGCAGGGAGCACAGCCGTCTCGGTGAAACTCTCCACCAGCGCCATGAAGTGCTTACCTAGCACATCCCAGTGCTCCTCAAAAAGCTCCTTCGGCAACCCATCATTTCCTGGAGCCTTATTCTTCGCCATCGCATGAAACGCACTTTTCACCTCCTTCTCCGACCAAGCCGCCGTCAGCCTTTCCCGAGCTATCGGCGACAGCGTTCTGCCAGCGGCAGGTACCCAGCCCGACTCAATCTGTTGCCTGTCGTGCCCGAAGAGGATTCTGTAGAACTGCGACGCAACCCCCAGAATCGCTTTGTTGTCAGTGACCGTCATACCACCAGCACTCAGCTCCTTGATCTGCGTTTTCTCCCGCCTTGCTTTAATTTTCCCTGACAGGAACGGGGACGCAACCTCCCCAGCCACCGCCTCGTTCATGCCAGCCATCTCATGCAGCCTCTCCTGCCTTGCCAGTTGGTAACCGCGAAGCTGCGACTCCTTCTCTACCAGCAAAGCCTTCAGCCGGTCATCCCCCGGATCACCCATCCACTCTTGTTTCAGCGCCGCAACCGCATCCTGAAGGTGGGTTATTGTGGCTTTAACCCGCTTGCGTTCCTCCTTTACGTAAGATTTAAGGCCGGCGTTAAGCCGTGAGATCAGCAGCTCAAAGTTCTCTCCGTTTGACGCCACCTGCCTTTCCACTGCTTCAATAATCTTTCTGACCCCCGGCCGACCAATCGTGTATGCAGGCAACCTCCAAAGCCCGGGTATCCATCCTGAAAGCAGCCTTCACCGCAAAGCTGTGGTCCGAGATCGGGTCCGCCGGCATGATGTGCGTGGCAAACTCCACGTGCGACAGCAGCGACTGCGAAATAAGCGCCCTGTCAATTCGCGAGCTGGACTGGTTAGCGCACGAGTAAAAGGTGAACTCCCGCTTGTAAGGATGCAGCACCCTGAAAGCGTCTGAAACATTGAAAGCACAGCACCGCTGATACAGCTCCTCGTTCTCTTTTGCTGACCCTTTCTTCGACGTTCTGTCCAGCAGCGGGTCCTCTACCAGGTTGAAATCCCCCAGGATAAGCAAGTGCGACCCCGGCTGCACCGAATCAACCACTGGGCCCAGCGTCCTGCGGACGAAAGCCTTTCTTTCGACCGAATCCGCCGGGAGATAGACAGCCAGCAGGGTGATGCTGAAGGAATCAAGGCGAACCTCCGCCGCGACAAGTCTGCCTGACGGGTGGACGAGCGTGTTATGGAGGGAGAGGCCAGGCCTGCGGAAGATAAGAGCCACCCCCCCGACTTTAGAGGTTGGAGAGGCGATTAGGATGTTGGGTTGGTTAAGAGACTTCCAGAAGGTGTGATCGTCCGAGAGCCTAACGTCAGCTAACACAATGACATCTGCTGCTTGTCTGATCCATGATTTCGTGCGTTGTTGCTTGTTCCCGTCCCCCAGGCCGTTGACATTCAGGCCTGCAAATGATAACAGGCTCTTCGTACTCATTTAATCACTGATGACAAGCCCCATCGCATCCACGGGCGGGTACAACCGGCTACGACTACACAAACAAGCATCAGCTCCACAGAAACTCTACACTGCATCAGGTACGCGGGTGAGGATCTCAGATCTGGTACTCCTTGCGGATGATATGCAGACCCAGCCTCTCCAAGGAACAGCCAGTGGCGGCACCCAGCTTCTCCAGGCCCAGCAGGTGGCTCGCCGCCGTGATATGATCTGCTGCAGCCATGAAGGACTTGCCGTGGGCCTTCCCGCAGCTCTCGAGGGTACACAGCCATTCCTCGCGGTTGCTCCCAGTGGAGATCAGCACGAAAGCCGCATCCATCAGAAGCGGGGTAGTAAGCGGGGAAGCACGAAGAGAGGCAGCTGCGAGAGGCAAGCAGCGCGTCAGTAACCGTTAAGACAGGTAAAGCAGAACGACAACCCGGAAAAGGTGAGATGCAGTTACCATTGATCCTATGAACCCGTCCCACCATTAAACTCCACTTCCCTATGTTATTCTGACGCTCCGTGATGAAAGCATTATGAAACTTGTCATAATGGTATCCACCAAAGAGCGCGCAGGATAGCAATGGGTAGTGGGCCAACAAGGTCGTTCCTCCCAGCAGCTGATGACGGAACTCATGGCGCCAGCGGTGCTTGTCGCCGGCGTGTGGGAGCACCAAACCCTTGACCTTATCCGTATCGGCTCGAGTAACCGGGTGCAGCACGCGGTGAAAGCAGTGGCCTTCGGCGAAAGCAGACTGCTTCCGGATCTTGAGCGGGTGAGTCACCATGATCTCCTTAATCAACTCCGGCGGGATGTCAGCAGGGACGTTCTTGAAGAGAACTTCCAGAAACTGCGGGCCCGAAGCCTTCTTGCGAAGGTAAGCCGCGTCCTCCTGATGCAGCCAGAAGCAGTGAATCGTTGTGCCGTTTTGGCGCTTGTGTTCCACCGCGGTCTGCTTGATGTTCACCACGTCAGATTCATGCAGGAAGGAGACCTGAAGCCGACTATAGCGGGTCTTAGCGACGAAGGCAGGAAGCAGCTCCTGAAACTTCACCAAAAACGGTAGCAGTCAGCTGTATAGTGGTGATTCATGCGAATGTCTGCATGAAAACGGTTTCATATTTCACCTCCTGTCCCTTTCTTCCCATATCTCCTTTCTTTGTTAAAGTTTTCCCATTTCTTACCTCCCCCATTTACCCATTTTGTATCATGGGAATCCCGGAAACGTTTTCGTGTACTAGCCGTGGAAAGTGTAACCACTTTAGGAAATATAGTTAGAAAGATTCCACATTTACTGTTTCCTGCAAAGTCCCTATCTTCCTTGTTCTCTTTTCTCCTTGCATCATCCATTGGTCTCTCTGGCCCTCACTTTCCATTCCTCTCTACCATCTCTGGCCGTGTGTTCCTCCCACCCATCTCACCCTTTTCTTTTTCTTTCTTGCCGGTTCCTGCTCCCTCACCAACCTCAGCAACCTGGGTTACAACAACTTCAACAGCCCCATCCCAGAAACGCTGGGCAATCTACACAACTTGATACACCTGTGCGTGAGCCGTGGGGGCAGGGAATGACGCACGCTGCAATGGTGTGCAGAGTGGAAGGGTCATCTAGAGTGGAAGAGCAATAGAGTGCAGAGTGGAAATATACTGCTGCTTCGTTTAGTAAACAAAGAGTGGAGGCATATAGGAATGCAAATGGCAAGGGGCAAATTACAGCCGCACCGCCTTGAGAGACTGGCACGGTGATGGGGGGCTCCATTATGATATATTGCGGGCCTAGATAATCTACTCTGATATCCCCATTCCATCCTCTTTTATTTTCCGCACCTGCTTTTTTTTGTCGTTTCCTCTACTGCATCACATTCGCCACTCCTTCAATGAACTTATGTTGCAACCCACTTACTTTGCTTGCTCCACCCACTCTCTTGTTCCACTCGCCGTGCACCATGCCCACCATCTCTCAGCAACCTCCAACACAACATGCTCTCTGGATCTATTCCCGAATCCTTCGGAGATCTTACTGGCTTGGAAACACTGTGAGATGAGAAGGCAGGCTGCACTGGGCTATCCTAAGCTGATGGGGTAACAAGTCTTGTCTAGTCATAGCAGTATTCAAGAGTCTTGGCCTCGTTGGCATGGCTGTCGGTCATCAAGTATCAAGTGGCAGCCGCACAGAAGTGAGAGAAACACCTGTGAGATGACATGGCCAGACTCTGTCAGTTTAAAGGAACGTTGGAAAGGAAAGCACCATGGTAGCACGGACAATGGAAACGCTTCTCACTACATGCTTCTGCTGGATCTCATGCCAATGCGCGCCATCTCGTGCTACCACACGGCAGGTCCTTGGAGCACAGCTGGATTTTGAGCACCATTCCTGCGTCCCTGGTCAACCTCAACCGGCTTACTACCCTGTGCGCCCAAGCTCATTCTTGTTTGCCTGTCGATGTGATGTCTGATTTTGATCACCACGTAGTTCAGGATTTATGATCTTTGGATTATACACGTATCGGGGACTTATGGTTAGACAGGCTAAGAACTAAAATACAGTTCCATCATTGTGTTATGATCTCCTAATAAACATGGTATAGGAGAAACAGTTTTCCACTCACACTTTCTTCCTCTCTACTATCCAGGATCGTGTCTAATAACCTCCTTGGGGGAACCATACCTGCAGCATTCAGCACACTCACTCGCCTCGTGTACCTGTAAGCACGCACACACTATCTTGTATCGAACAACACCTTCCAATAGAGGCTGCTAGCCAATTGGCAAGAGACTAGACATGTGCAATGTACCGAGTCGAGTAAAACTCGACTCGGTCTGGGCCAAAACTCGACCGAGTTCGAGTTCGAGTCGGGTGAAACCCGGTCGATTTTTTTTGCCAAGGTTCTGGACTCGAAACTCGGCTGTTTAAGGGCGAGGTTTAAAAAACTCGACCGGGGCATTTCATACACTCGGTCGAGGCCTAGTTAAACTCGACTTGGGGGGAGAGGGGGGAGGGGACACATCATGTAAAAGCTGGAAGTGAGGCTTCACCTGGTCCTCCTCCTCCACCTAGGGATGAGCAAATTCCCGAACGCCTGTTCGGTTCGCCTCGAACATGCATTTTTTTTGCCTAAAATGTTCGGGCCGAACATGTTCGGTGTTCGGCCGAACATGTTCGCGGTTCGCCTCTGACATTTGCGGCCCCCAAGTCGAACACGAACACGTTCGTGTTCGAATTGGGGGCCCCGCGAACACCAAAGTGTTCGCGTCAAAATTGGCCGCGACCAAATTTAGGTCGCGGCCGTTTTGAGTTTGAGCTCATTTCGTGAGCTCAAACTCAAAACGCTTTCACAGCTTATCCCTCCCTCACACAGCCGCCCTAGCCTTGTAGTTTTAGAAGCTTTCACACACCTTTACTACTAATCTACACGGACACTAGATCTAGGGTTTCCCGTAGTGTAGTGTGTTTAGGGTAAAATAAGGTTGAGTAGCTTAGGGATCAATCAGCGCGTGGTCAAAGCTGTAGGGTTTCGGGTCGGGCATTTCAGAAATATACACGTGCTGGAACATTGGCGAATCTGCTCATTGGTGAACTCGAACATGTTCGACTCGAACATGTGCGAGTTTGCCTGCTGCAACAATTCGTTCGCCCCCAAGGGCGAACATCGAACACCTGTATTCGCCCAAATCGTTCGCCGAACCAAACACTGTTCGGTTCGGTAGTTCGCGATGTTCGACGGGGGGCGAACCCGAACATGTTCGAGTTCGCCCTCTGCTCATCCCTACCTCCACCCCTCCCGCATGATCGCCACGGTGGGTTCCTCCCACCCCCCCTTTTCCGCCCTTCGGGTTCTTACTTGAAAGCTGCTTGAACTTCGCCATGCTAAATCTGTAGGTCGACCGTTAAATTAATAGATAGTAGTGGGTCCTCCTCCTCAAACCCTAATCGAAACCAGCCGTACAATAAAATCGCGTCGCTAACTATGCGTGAACCTAGAACTACGTTGCCCCTATGACGATCGTAAGTTTAAGAAGAAAAAACAGCCGTGCGTTTGGCTG